AAACAGGATAATGTGACAGACAGAATAATGTGACAGACATGGCTGGTAATGAGAGACAGATTAATGTGACAGACATGACTGGATAATGAGACAGACGCGGCAGGTAATGAGACAGATGTGAAAGGATAATGTGACAGACTGGGCCGGTAATGTGACAGACTGGGACGGTTATGAGGTAATGTGACAGACTGGGCCGGTAATGTGACAGACTGGGCCGGTAATGTGACAGACTGGGCGGGTAATGAGACAGACTGGGCCGGTAATGTGACAGACTGGGCGGGTAATGAGACAGACTGGGCCGGTAATGTGACAGACTGGGCCGGTAATGTGACAGACTGGGCCGGTAATGTGACAGACTGGGCCGGTAATGTGACAGACAGAATAATGTGACAGACTGGGCCGGTTATGTGACAGACTGGGCGGGCCGGTTATGAGGTAATGAGACAGTCTGGGCCGATTATGAGACAGACTGGGACGGTTATGAGGTAATGAGACAGACTGGGACGGTTATGAGGTAATGAGACAGACTGGGCCGGTAATGAGGTAATGTGACAGACTGGAAAGGATAATGTGACAGACAGGTCAGGTAAAGTGACAGACAAGGTAATGTGACAGGATAATTTAAAAGAGAGGGTAGGATAATGTGACAGACTGAATGAAATGTAATACATTATAGTGTGAAAAAAACAAAAACAGGATAATGTGACAGACATGGCTGGATAATGAGACAGACGCGGCAGGTAATGAGACAGATGTGAAAGGATAATGTGACAGACTGGGCGGGTAATGTGACAGACTGGGCCGGTAATGTGACAGACTGGGCCGGTAATTAGACAGACTGGGCCGGTTATGTGATAATGAGATGGAGATGTTTATGTGACAGACTGGGCCGGTAATGTGACAGACTGGGCGGGTAATGTGACAGACTGGGCCGGTAATGTGACGGACTGGGCCGGTAATGTGACGGACTGGGCCGGTATTGTGACGGACTGGGCCGGTATTGTGACGGACTGGGCCGGTATTGTGACGGACTGGGCCGGTATTGTGACGGACTGGGCCGGTAATGTGACGGACTGGGCCGGTAATGTGACGGACTGGGCCGGTAATGTGACGGACTGGGCCGGTAATGTGGTAATGTGACAGACTGGGCCGGTAATGAGACAGACTGGGCCGGTTATGAGGTAATGTGACAGACTGGGCCGTTATGAGGTAATGAGACAGACTGGGCCGGTTATGAGGTAATGAGACAGACTGGGCCGGTTATGAGGTAATGTGACAGACTGGGCCGGTTATGAGGTAATGAGACAGACTGGGCCGGTTATGAGGTAATGAGACAGACTGGGCCGGTTATGAGACAGACTGGGCCGGTTATGAGGTAATGAGACAGACTGGGCCGGTAATGAGGTAATGAGACAGACTGGGCCGGTTATGAGACAGACTGGGCCGGTTATGAGGTAATGAGACAGACTGGGCCGGTTATGAGGTAATGTGACAGACTGGGCGGTTATGAGGTAATGAGACAGACTGGGCGGTTATGAGGTAATGAGACAGACTGGGCCGGTTATGAGGTAATGAGACAGACTGGGCCGGTTATAAGGTAATGTGACAGACTGGGCTGTTATGAGGTAATGAGACAGACTGGGCCGGTTATGAGGTAATGAGACAGACTGGGCCGGTTATGAGGTAATGTGACAGACTGGGCGGTTATGAGGTAATGAGACAGACTGGGCCGGTTATGAGACAGACTGGGCCGGTTATGAGGTAATGAGACAGACTGGGCCGGTAATGAGGTAATGAGACAGACTGGGCCGGTTATGAGGTAATGAGATGTTTTAGTAAGTGGGTTAATGTTGTGAAGCCGCCATTATGGAGGGCTCCGTTTGATGTGACACACTGTGCCGCTCACACACGGTATACTGACAGCACGCGCTCTATTTATATCCAGTGAAGCCCTGCTCCGGGCCCCAGCACTCAGGGCCGGCCGATGGACCCGGTAAAGTAGTGCTGGGAGGGAGGGGCCGGCACTACTTCCCAGCTCCCTCCGCGCGGGAGGGAAGAGAGCCACAGCCAGGCTGACTCCCATCAGCCACAGCCATCCTGTATGTATGTCTGTCAGTATGTGTGTGTGTCTGTCAGTATGTGTGTGTGTCTGTCAGTATGTGTGTGTATGTCAGTATGTGTGTGTGTCTGTCAGTATGTGTGTGTGTCTGTCAGTATGTGTGTGTATGTCTGTCAGTATGTGTGTGTGTCTGTCAGTATGTGTGTGTGTCTGTCAGTATGTGTGTGTGTCTGTCTGTCAGTATGTGTGTGTATATCTGTCAGTATGTGTGTGTATGTCTGTCAGTATGTGTGTGTGTGTGTGTGTCTGTCAGTATGTGTGTATGTCTGTCAGTATGTGTGTGTGTCTGTCAGTATGTGTGTGTATGACTGTCAGTATGTGTGTGTGTATGTGTCTGTCGGTATGTGTGTGTATCTGTCAGTATGTGTGTGGTACTCTGTCAGTATGTGTGTGTCTGTCAGTATGTGTGTGTCTGTCTGTCAGTATGTGTGTGTATATCTGTCAGTATGTGTGTGTATGACTGTCAGTATGTGTGTGTGTCTGTCAGTATGTGTGTGTCTGTCTGTCAGTATGTGTGTGTATATCTGTCAGTATGTGTGTGTATGACTGTCAGTATGTGTGTGTGTGTCTGTCAGTATGTGTGTGTGTGTCTGTCAGTATGTGTGTGTGTGTCTGTCAGTATGTGTGTGTATGTCTGTCAGTATGTGTGTATGTATGTCTGTCAGTATGTGTGTGTGTGTCTGTCAGTATGTGTGTGTGTGTCTGTCAGTATGTGTGTGTCTGTCTGTCAGTATGTGTGTGTATGTCTGTCAGTATGTGTGTGTGTGTCTGTCAGTATGTGTGTGTGTGTGTCTGTCAGTATGTGTGTGTGTGTGTGCCTGACGTGTATGTATGTCTGTCAGTATGCGTGTATGTATGTCTGTCAGTATGCGTGTATGTATGTCTGTCAGTATGCGTGTGTGTATGTCTGTCAGTATGCGTGTGTGTGTGTGTCTGTCAGTATGTGTATGTATGTCTGTCAGTATGTGTGTATGTCTGTCAGTATGTGTGTATGTCTGTCAGTATGTGTGTGTGTGTGTCTGTCAGTATGTGTGTGTGTGTGCCTGTCAGTATGTGTGTGTGTGTGCCTGTCAGTATGTGTGTGTGTGTGTCTGTCAGTATGTGTGTGTGTCTGTCTGTCAGTATGCGTGTGTGTCTGTCTGTCAGTATGTGTGTGTCTGTCTGTCAGTATGTGTGTGTGTATATGTATGTATGTCCTTATGCGTGTTTGTGTCTGTATAGGTCTATGTGTCTGTTTCACTATATATATTGTTGAAAAAGAATGTAAAACTATAGTGCGGCCCACATCAGTGTCTGAGGGACTGTGAACTGGCCCCCTGTTTAAAAAGTTTGAGGACCCCTGATTTAAAATGTATTTATTCTCAAGAAATAGTTCCCTGTTTTAAACTAAACCTTTCTCTTTTTCTGTATATTAAATAGATTTGGCGCCATAATTTCTCCTTTCCTGGATTTAGAACATTTTTAGCCATCTGATCACTGTCCTATCCTCTTTTAATTTGCATGGTACTCCATTTATTGGATTTCACTCGATGGACTTAGGCCTCAATTGAATATTTTTTAATACACTTATCAAATGATTTAAAATTTTTCGATAAACTTTAAAATGACTTAATATTTCAAACATTATGATTTTATATTTTGCTATTTTTTTGTGATCTGCGTCCCATCTCCGATCTTTCATCCTCGGAGTCCTGTTGCAGCTCGTCCCCAGTGTTCCAGGCGTCCTCTCCTCCCAGCAGGTACTTCAGGCCGCGGCTTGGCACGTAGTAGGCCAGAACTTTGTTTTTCGGCTTGGCCTGTCTTGGGCTATACCGGAATGGCATCTGTGTGATGCTGTCACTTGTACGCCTGGGTGGCATTCATTTTGAGCGATATAGAGCGGATTGTCCTCGTATTTGCAGGCGCTGCCAGGTATGGTGTCTGGCTCTGCCCCCCTATTTTGCTATTTTTTTTTTTTTTATATACTATATACCAGACTCAACTGTAAAGGAGGCGGCGTAGGCATCTCTCCCCAGCGGCAGCTTACCTTACCAAGGGGAGAAACCAATCTCAAGTCCCCACAGCGTGTTTTCCCATCACCCCAGGGGAATACCCAGGTGCAGTCACTGTTTGCTTTAAAGCCAAATACATCAAAGAGTCATAGTCACAGGGGAGGAGGCTGGCAAGCAGGCCTCTCCAGGACCAAGTGGCGAAGGGCACTTCGTCACATATCTCCCCTTCGGGTGGAAGACTAACCAGGCACCTGACCAGGTTTCTGCTCTGCTCCAGTCCTCCCGCCCCACCACCTGCTCCCTAGATCCAATTCCCTTGCTTCTCATCCATACTCTTTCTTCTTCTATTTCTCCAACTCTCACTAAAATTCTCAATCTTTCTCTCTCCTCTGGTATTTTTCCATTTCCCTTCAAACGTGCAACTGTAACCCCAATTGACCCTAACTCCCCATCCAACTATCGTCCTATCTCGCTACTGCCTTTTGCATCCAAGATCCTTGGAAAAAATTTGGCTTCCAATATCATTTCTACGCAGATGACATGCAAATCTACTTGTCCTCTCCTGATCTCTCCCCGTCCCTCTTGACTAGTGTCTCTGACTGCCTCTCTGCTGTTTCTAACTGGATGGCTGCCTACTTCCTTAAACTAAACTTGACCAAAACTGAAATTCTGGTCTTTTCTCCCTCAAGTGTTGTTACTCCTGTGTCTGTCTCCCTCAAAGTCAACGGTGCTACCATCAGCTCCACCACGCAGGCTGGCTGCCTAGGTGTTCTCTTTGACTCCGACCTCTCCTTCAAGCCTCATGTTCAATCTATCGCCAAATCCTGTCATTTCCATCTCGAAAACATTGCATCCGCCCCTACTTAATGCCAGATGCGACTAAGGTGTTGGTCCATTCCACTGTCCTTTCTCGCCTTGACTACTGTAATCCGCTTCTCAGTGGTCTTACGTGCTCCCAACTTGCGCCGTTACAGTCCATAATGAATGCGGCGCCGAGGCTCATCTTCCTGTCCGCCCGCACCTCTCATGCCTCACCTTTCTGTCAGTCCTTACATTGGCTTCCTATAAAATATAGAGCTCAATTTAAAATTCTGGTTCTTGCTTTCAAATCTCTACATAATGCTGCTCCCACCTATCTATCCTCCCTTATACATAAGTATGTCCCGTCTAGGCCCTTACGATCTGCTGAAGACTTACGTCTATCTTCTGTCTGTACTCCCACCTCTGATGCTCGCCTTCAAGATTTCTCGAGGGCTGCACCTTTCCTGTGGAACTCGCTTCCCTCCTCCGTTAGATGCTCACCCAGTCTCCACTCCTTCAAAAAATCGTTAAAAACCCACTTCTTCATAAAAGCGTATCAATTAAACTGTTAATAGCTCCTGACTGATTCCTCTTCTGCAACTGTCACTAGTCTAATACTATCCTTACCTTTTTGTGTCATTTTACTCCACTTCCTCTAGCATGTAAGCTCATTGAGCAGGGCCCTGAACCCCTCTGTTCCTGTGTGTCCAACTTGTCTGGTTACAACTACATGTCTGTTCATCCACCCACTGTAAAGCGCTGCGGAATTTGACGGCGCTCTATAAATATCATAATAATATATAGTATATAAAATATTATATACTATATATATTATAATACAAAGTATAATATACATTTTTATTTTTAATATTTCAAACAAATCTGAAATAATTTGAAAAGCATATCCAAAAATATTAAATGTAATGCCTTACAATGGTAAACACTATTGGGTTTGATTGAGTAATTATAAGGCATAGTTCTTAGCTTGGAGCAGTTACCATGGAAAGCAATGGAATATTACTGCTGATTCTCCAATTCTAGAAATTCTGCCTAGAATTAATCTTTATACAAAATCCCCTATAGTTTCTTCAGTGTTGCATGATTTGTCTCTAGCTCGATTTTAATTTGTTGTACAAGTAGCCCATCTAATGAGCCAGTAGGTAATAAGACATAGGACAGGAAACTGCCAAACCCATTGCAGTGTCAGGATGGGATAGGTATACACACAAGGGTTGGATAATCACTCGGAGCATATTACAAACAGAATGGAACTTATGCTTTATATATTGATTGCATGTCAACAGTTTTCAAAGACCACACAGTGATCTCTCATCAGAAAACAGATGACAACAGAAGATTATGACGGAAAACAGAAACGTAAGGTTAGTGAACTGAGCAGTATGCTTTTATAAAAAATTAATTTAAAAAAATGTCAACATATTGAGGGGATTAATAGGCATAGACTATTTGCAATTTTA